GGGGGGGGGGGGGGGGGGGGGGGTCAGTGTGGCTGCAGTTTGCTCCTCTAGTGATTTTTCCGGCCGGTGGAGGACGTGGCCCTCGGTGATCTGGCAGAGAGAGAGAGCGTCCTGGCGAACGCCAGCGATGAAACACCAGGTCTGGAGTTTGTCCCCTGAAGGCGTTCAGCAGCCACAGCTCTGCAGGGACATCGAAGACACGCTCGTCACGTGTCCTGACCTCTGAGTGACACGCTTCGTCCGGACACGGTGAACGTTTGGTTGTTTGGAAGCTGTTTGCAGGACGCACGTGTCTGTCGGTGCAGACGGGCCTGACGGGAGCCGCCATTTACAGACGGCACTTTAGTCGTTTGGCCACAAAGCACAGACAGAGTCAATAAAACCCGGGGCAGCGAGGTCACGGCTCGGTAGTTACTGCCGGGTGAGCGGCTCTGTCGATGGCACCGTCTGTCCACAAATCAAACGTGTTCTTCACCGACCCAGTTTTACGTCCGTCCAACAAGTTTGGTTTGAGTTTGATCCGACAAACAAACACAAGAACCCAACGAGGGACAGAGGAGTTTTCTGGGTGAGGCCTCGGGGCAGGAGGACGACGGGGAACACGTGCGACCTGGTTCCAGGTTGAATTTGAAGATCGCGCCTGTGGACACTCGGACGACAGGAGCGGAGGCATGTTGTGTTTTTCTTCTGTTGTGTTATTACGTCTGAAGAATCCATCACCAGTTACTCCAGTTGTGTTGGATTCTGCTGCATCGCTGTTTAACTTCCAGAGTCAGATTCATGTGAAGGTGAATATGAAATAATCCTGACGATGTTTTCACTCGTGTTTCATCTAAATTGTACAAACTGTTGTTTTCCTTCATATTTTAATACTTTAAATTTTATATAATTATATATTTTTTGATTTTTCATCATTGTTTTCAGTATATTTTGTATTTTTGTGATTTTTATTTTTAACAAAAGAAAAGGTTCGATTCCTCAAAGCCTTGGGCCCACAGCTATAAACAAAGCCTGTGGCGCCCTCCAGTGATCGGAGGCAGAATTACACATCTCCTGTTTAAAGAAATAAAAAAGATGGATGCAGCAAATCCACAAATAGATCCTGAGGAAAAAAGAGCTGAGCGTCAAAGTCCATCTCCGGATAAATGACGCGTTTAATAAGAGATCCGGACTACACATGTTTTACACTTTAATAAAACTAATTATATGTTCATAAAGTTTAAATCGATGAATTGGTCGTTTTTAAATTTGAAGGTGTCACATTCGTTATTCTTAAGAAATCCTCCTTAACACGTGACCGTCATCCTCAGGGAGAATTCATATCAGAGACATTTCATGAATATTGATCATCATCAGAGTTTCTGGTGACGCTGACGTCACTGCTTTTGTTATTGGAGTTTTTGTACTTAATGATGTCACCAGCATCTTCTTTAAGACCCTCAGGTCCATTAAGGAAAATGATGGCGACACTTTAAGGGTCTTTTTTAAAGAATTGAATGAACACGATGGAGACAAAGTATAAAAACTCTAATTAATTGAATTAAGGGACTTAAGGAACGTGGTGGTGTCCTTCTTCTTTTTCTTTGAGACGTCTTGCAACCAACGTCTTGGTGCATTACCGCCACCTACTGCCCGTCCCCACCCTGGTGGGGGGGCAGTCAGGGACTTTTTAATGTATATTAAGGGACTTCAGGAATATGGAGGTGACATGGTAAGGGACTTTTTAAGGGAAATTAAGGGACTTAATAAAAACTTAGACGCAGATTAAGGGACTAAAGAATATGAAAAGGGTTTTATTGTGTCTCACTGTAACGTGATTTGGTGTGTGTGTGTGTGTGTCTGTGTGTGTGTGTCAGATTAGGGAGGAGACACACACACACACACACACACACTCTCTCTGAGTCTCCCTCCTCAGACGCGCAGACAGAATTTAAAATGTGTGCGCATTTCCCTGACGAGCGGCGCGTGGAGCTGGACACGGAGACGAACACGCGACTCAACCGGACGCTTTAATTAATTAGAGACCACGAGCAGGAGACCCCGCACCGCACCGCATCGCACCGCACCTGTTCCCGCCTTCACACACGAGGTGAGTTATCTTTACACCGCCGGTCGCGCCCCTGATAGTGAAGTAAGAATGTGGAGGTGCAGCTGCTCCTCCTGCTGCTCCTCCTGCTGCACCTCCTGCACAGCTGCTCCTCCTGCACAGCTGGAGCATGCACGTTCATTTTCCCTCTTTGTTTTCAACGTCTCTTTGTTTTGTCGAGTTCAAAGCGCGTTGGCGTTTGTTGTCTAACGTAGTTTCCGGTCAGGGACACGTAAACAATGCTGCAGCTGTTTCACGCATCGTGCTCAGGTGGAGACAGTCACGTGACGACACTGATCCGCTGAGGTTTAATTGAATTTAATTAAGAGGGAAAACTTCAGAGGAAGAATGAGTGAGACAGAGAGAGAAGCTGTTGTGATTGTTTGTCTCAGGTCTGTCCTCAGGTCTGTCCTCAGGTTGTCTCAGGAGGTTTCGTCCTCATTGTGTCTTTCTTAAAGTTTGGTCATTAACATCATGTCTGGAAACATCTGAGCAACTTTTCACTGTCTCCTGCATCAGTCCTTCGGTTTCCTGCAGCTGACGTCTGCACCATGATTCACTACCGTCCTGCGTCCAGCTGTGTCTCTGCACCTCTCTGAGCTGCATCATCCACTCAGACTCTTCATCTCTGGAGCGTCCTGATCCCTCGTCTCCCTCTGAGGGCAAAGTCGGTGTAATCTCACACCATCGGACTGTTACATAACTTTAAAACTCAAGTGCCATCCTGTCTGCGTAGGAGTAGATGTGATGTTCCCACTTCCTTGCTGTTGTTTTGCTCGTTAACGTTCTGAGAGGCTCGTTACTGTCACTGGCTTTTACATGGGGGGGGGGTCATGCTGATTGAGGAGGGGCTGCCCCCCCCCAGGGACTGATTCCCTTTTCTGAGCTGTGATGGTGCAGCCATCACAGTGTGATCGCTGAGGGTTTGTTCATTTTGACCAAATGTGTGTGTTTGTAGGGGGGGGGCTGCGTTCTGCCCCTGTGTTGTGTGGGAGGAGTGAAATCGCAGAGCGCCTTCACATGACGCTCGGAGCTGTTGGACAGAGTTCCGTCCTCCTGTCTGTCCTGGGTGCCTGCAGACAGACAGGACACAGTAACCTGACTCGTGTACGTGGCTTCCCCCCCGTGGAACTGTGTCACCGTCGTCCCGCAGCTCAAACCCCAAAACAAGAGGCTCTGTCCACCGTTTGGAAAGAGAGGAAATCTGGCAGGTCCTCAGATAAAACGCTGGCAGGAGAAGGAGTGAAGAGCTTCAGTTCTTCTAAGTGGAGATTGAAGTTAAATGCACTTTATAAATACCAAACATTGACGTCAGTAGATGAGTAATATTAGACCGTTAACGAAGCAGCTCCTCAACCAGAGTTCAAATACGGAGGCAGCTGTTGTCAGACATGAACTCTGCAAAATGTCCTGAAAACTGTGCAGGGGACTTTCTCCGGAGTTTGTCTCGCACATATGAAGAAGCAGCAGGAGATTGTCCAGGAGGGAGCGCTCAGGTGAGGGCTGGCGTCGGGGTGCAGGAGGCAGATCAACTCGATAGTGTCCAGTCTGTGCAGGATCTGGGGATTGAGCCGCCGTGGCGATGTGCTGCCCGACGTGTGGTCGACCGATCGTGAGACTGTCAATCACGACGTATCAGCCTGTTGTTTAAAACGAACACTTAAAGGTTCAGTGTGTAGAATGTAGTGACCTCTAGTGGTGAAGTGTCACTGCAGCTGAATACCCCTTGCCTGCTCCTGATGTAAATATAAAGTATTTAAATATAAAGTATTTAAAATATAAAGTATTTAAATATTAGGTATTTAAATATAAAGTATTTAAATATTAAGACTCATTCTACGGTAAAGAAAACAACAATTTGTACAATTTAGATGAAACACTCATGAAAACATCACTGGGATTGTTTCATATTAATTTTCTAACAATAGATCCTTTAACCTGAATCTAACACCTTTAAACCTTTGTGTGTTCTAGTGCTTATTTTGGTCCACATTCCGTCCACTAACATGGAGGAGACATGGTGGAAAAACACACTCAGGCTCTTTACAGCTGAAATCTTTTCGAGGTTTATGGACAAATGATCCAACGTGAGCTGAGAGTGAAGCCGCAGATCGGTTGTCCACAATACTGACCGAGGCCTGGACGTCATCGTCAAACTGCCGGTCGCACACTTTCCTGTGAGACGGGTAGAGATCTGTTGCTCGTAGAAGATGAAAGGAGGAAGGTCTGACTTTGACTTCCTGTCTCCTCGGCTGCTTCGGAGACGGCAGCATTAATGCAGCCGTTTGTCCTCTTGTGGTCACTCTAACACAATCTAAAACCGGAGGATGAAAGTGATCCGTCACTGTCACGGTCGAGACTCTGATCTCTCACACGAGGGAGCGGAAAACAAAGTCAATTCCAGATGTTGGGGGTGTAGACGATTAGCTCACACATCCAAAACAGGTTTTCTGGTTTTCTGTGGTAGAAAACATCTTCAGATTTCAAACGTTGACTGAGAGGAAAATAAATCTGTCAAGGATTTTCAACTGGAACTGGAAAGAAAAATACAGAGTTTTTATTTTCTTTGCTTTTAGAGACATTGTTCTTATTATTCACGGTCCTTCATCGAGAACCTGCTGGTGCTTTAATAAAAATGAAAAACGTCCCGTGTGAAGTGCTCCTCATGCTGAGGGTCCGTCACACTGTGAACCACAGTCGTGCACGAGGTGGAACATGAGACGTTAACGAGCTTTTAAAAAGCACGAATACGACTGTTTGTACTTTCCAAGATTTGTCGGCTCTGCTTCTCATTCTGGTTCTTGTCTTTCATTAAATTACAAAAACAAGTGTGAGGTGTCCGACAGCACCGTGGAGCAGGTCCAGCTGTTTTCTTGTTTCCAGACGTGACGGAAACAAGTGACAGCGTCTTGGAGAAAGTTGTTTTTTTCACACTCGACAAGTTGAACGATTGTTATTCTGGCAACTAATAAAGACAAAGATTTTAAAACTTCAACGACAAGAGTTTAACCATCAATTCAACTTTGAAATTTAAATCAAATTTTATTCTGGAAAAAAACCCACCGGGTCCAGAGAGTGACTGAAACCTGCGCTCTCCCGAATGACCAGCAGAGGGTTGAAAAGTTGAAAGGTCTGGAGTAGATCTGAGTTCCAGCGTCAGGACCTCGTCTCGCTGCCTGAGTTGGTTCTGAAACCGTTGATGAAAGCTGCTGAAGACCAGAGGATCATTTCTCCTGCCTGCAGGTCGCTGCATCATCTGTAAACACTGTGTGAGGTTTCTGAATTCTCTCAGCGCTCCTCAGGACTCCAACACTTCTGTGTACAGGGAGAACAAACTTAGGAGGAAGTGGAAACACGTCTTCCATCTTGACTCAGGGGGGGGGGGTGATCTCATGTTTACAGAGTCCGAGCAGTTTCCTCCAAAGACAAAACAGGAAAGACACTGAGGAGGACGTCTGCAGAAATATGAGACAGTTCAAAGATTTTATGACACGGAGATGGATCGACTGTAGCTCCACACACACACACACACACACACACA